CTCACTGAGAGAAGCAACAGATGTTTGAGATGAAAAGTGGGCCGTTATCTGCACGTATTTGACTTCTTAGATGTTTTCTCTGTTTACCTGAATTTACTTACCTGAATGGCGGCTATCAGGTGCATCCCAGATCATTTTTTTTCCCACAGCAAGGCCTTAAGGCCCACACTCTTTAATTTTATTTTTAATACCTTTTCACTTTCAATATTGCTTCACCTGCGTCTCAGTGAAAAAATGAAGATATGTTTTTTCAAAAAAAAAAGTTTCTGCCATTTCTTAAATCTGTTCTAATTTATTTCAAGATTATAGGCCTATTGGAAATTATTTGTGTAAAAATGGGTTAAATCGAAAGTAGAACGACATAAAAAAAATTGCGGTCAGAGTTTTGAATGTGCGATTATTTAAATATATTATTATGGTAACCTACTTTTTCGTTCTGATGAACTATTTAGGAGGAACTATTTAATCTGAATCCATCTGAAAGCGCTGTTTTTAGACGCATGTAGGGCGTTTCTGCTACTCAAGTTATGGTGTTTCAGAAAGTTTGCAATATGGCGCATTTGAAGTGTCTCTCGCACAACTCAGATGCGTTTCTGTCGAGCTGGAAGCTTGTATTGGCGCAGTCTCAAATGAGCTTGGCTTATTGGTGAGAGAGCGCAGAGCGGAGTTTTAAAATTTGGCAAGAACTTTTTCAAAGATGAGAGCAGTGTATATTAATACATGCTTGGGCTACCTGCAAAATATAATTACAGTGCTAGATTTAGTTTATTGTGAGAGATAGCAAGATAGTTTTGAAGTCTCAGAATGATTCTGCTGTCTTGAAAAAAAGAAAACCAAAATTATTGGGGTTCCTGATTATTAATAGGAGCACATATGATCCTAAAACAGTAAATCCTCTTAATTTTGCTTGTGCTGGTGATTTTTGAATTATATAACACCTCCTGAGAAAGTATCAAGTTTTTATGCAATTGAGGGAATCACGGGCTATTTCTGGTACTTCAAAGTAAAATGCATCTGGAGTCGATGGTGGAACAGTTTGCTGCACTTTTTAAAAATTAAAGTGGAAAGTAAAAAAAAAAAAAACGTAGGCAGAATGTTCCTTAAAGATCAGAAATAATGTTGAATTTCATCTAATTTAAAGAGGACAGTAAGTAAAGTGTTGGAAGAAGCATGACAGACGCAGTGTAGGAGTTGCCTCATGTTAAATTTAGTGTTTTAACAGCACTGGTGAGGTGCAGAGCAAGCAGGCGATGCTTCACCTTCAAAGATGACAGACAATTTTGCATCAAGCTCCATAAAAGTGAGAGACCTTATGTGATAAATGCTTCACAGGGAGCTCACTAACAGGTGAACTGAACAAACCCTCTTCCTGCTTTGCATCTTGGATCCTTCATTCAAAGTCAGGGTCATTTCATTCATTAGCACAGCAAAAAGACACTTTTGCATCTCTAATTTTGCACCATACGCCTTGTCTGCAGAGTTAATTGTGCCGAAGTGTGTGTCCTGGAATCTGCGCGCTAATCATAGTTGTGTTGTTGTCTGCAAGAGTCTCTGTGTGCCCATGTGCCAATGGAAGAAGAGCGTGCCCATGTGTGGGTGTATGACTGCTCCTCTGCTACTCTCTGTCCATGTGTGTGCCCGTGCGTGCAGTCTATTAGTGGAGTTTAACCCCTCTGTTCGGGGAGTCGCAGCCCCTCAACACACCAGGCACCATTCTTTCTGCAGCCCGTTAACGTTTTACTCTTCCACCCACCCCACCCACACTGTTCACTTTTGTCCTAAGAGGGCAATTAAGGAAACAAACGTTTTCCCTAAGATAAGCTGGCTGCCAGCTTTGCATACTAATGCAATGCCAAGTGGTTGCAAATACTGAGTGCTCTAATTACGGGTACTATTTTCAATCAGAAATTGCTCAATTTCCCAGGATGAGGTCTCTATGGCTGCAGAAAAAAACACATGCAACTTGATAGAAGCAAGAGACAATCATCTCTGTGTGGAGGGAGGCTGATTTTCTCTGTCTCTGTGTGTGCGTGTGCTCACATGTGTGCCCATATGTTGGTGAAAATAAATTCATCTGCCTCTGTGTGTACAGACCGTGGAATGACCCACTCCATCGCTGCTGCCCTTGACAAGTCAAGACATGGATCCTGTCAGCCTCGACAGCATTTAGCACCACAATTATCCCCTTTCACAGCCTGGCTGCATCCGTGTAAACCACACCAGGCAGCCGTTGCCACTCAGTGATGAGAGCGATGTGGTGCACCATCTACTCTGTGAGCAATTTGGAGCAATTGTGTTGCTTTGTGATCATCAGTGCAAATCAAGGCCTTCTCATTTATTAAACAATTTCTGCTGGAGGAAATTAGAGGGAAGGCTCTTTTAATTTGGCAGGCGATAGATAGCAATATCACTAAAAGCAGCAATAATGCATAAAGCTGCTGACATCAAAGTACAAAAAGGATAGTGGACCTGTGATTTGAGTTGGATGCATCATCTCATCAGGACAGGTCAGCTATTCTGAGTGGCCAAAGTGGACAAGGACTGGCTTCCTGGATGTGGGAATGAGTCACTCTATAGGTTGCACATGCAGGACCCATCCGCTGGCCTTAGCTGACCTTTGGCTCTGACGGTGGCTAATGGAGATCTGGCCCTCGATCAATCCATCGCAAAGCTGGGCTCCTGATCCCTGGCCTTTCACCAGGCCAGGGTGGGACGGATGCTGCCAGGAGTCACGCGGCGGAGCCACCGACCCTACCACTTTCCCATCCGTGGGTGACAGCTGCAGCGCCAAGGAGCCTGGGGACGCCACACTGCCCTGCCACGCAGGAAGGACAGCCAGCAACTGTGTCTCTGTGGCAAGGGGGGAGGGAAAGCCATAAATGATCCGCTTGTGAATGTCACATTCATGTAAATATCCTCTACATATGATGCTGCGATGACCTGTGCAAGATAAATCTGGAGATATGTGTTGGATGTGCTGTTTTTGGCTCAAAACTTTGTTTCTCAAGCTGTTTGTGTGAGTTTTTCGCCTGCATCTCAATGCATCGAAGGATCTAAACAAAAAGCGCCTGAATAACGTAGAATTTTATTGAAAAGTTTATTTAATTCAGCAGGTATTTCAAGAAGGGAAACTCAAATGATATAAATGCTTTAAGAACACAGTGATGTGCTTTAGATATTCATTTCTTCACATTTTGATTTCATGATTTATAGCTAATCTAGACACAGATTCTTAGAAATTTTAAGTGTTATCATAGACCAGGGCTGCTTTTGCATGAATTACTAAATCAGTCCTGCATTACATGGAGAAAATCAGCCTGGGGTTCTACAGAGATGTTAAGGAAGTGGTAGTTTAATAGAGGCCTACAGCTCATCTTATTTCTTTTCACAGCCGAGTCATTTTCCTCCTTTTCTAGGTAAAACCCTTCAAGGGATAATTCTGATTCAGGATATGCAACAGTTGTACTCCATGTCCCAGATATGTCAGTGTGCAGCGGTGATTGAAGTACTGATTCCAGTCCCTGTCATTTTTCAAACACACTTTTTTCTTCCACTAAACTTTCCAAAAATATATTTGGACACGGCACTCTGTAAATAATCAGCCTTTCTTAAAATGAGATTTTTGTAGCTTTACACCCTTGTCAATAATAGAAAGTCAAGAGTCTTCACCAAATATTCTGTGTAATAATTCTCTGATAAATTAAATTTTGTCAAAAAGCCTTGATCATCAAAGTGATAACTGGAAAAAATATGTCACAGTATGTGTAATGGTTCCCATATTGTAAAAGTTTTACTTTTTCAACTCTTTTCTAATTTATTCAGACGCACTTCTATGATGCTTTTTAGAAGATGCGATTGAACCTGCATTTAGTTTAAACACAAAGAAAGTTGTCCCCACTTAACGTTTTAAAAATGAGTTTCTGCACATTTCTTTAAATTATGCTCTGCACATTTTGTCAAAGGTAGAAAACATAAATCTGAGTCTGTTAAACATGGAAGTTTAACAGACTCAGATGTAACAAAGACCTGGTGTAACAAAGACCTACACCAGAATAACACTTTATCAGTTGTGAGAAATTCATATTTGCACTTTAAGTGTTTTCGGTATTCATTGTGCACTTAAAATGTTACCTCAGGGAATATTTTCTGATGCTGCACCCTGTTGCTCTGCCTGATGTTGCACACAGTTCTGTGCTTTGTTACCCAGATGGTGCACCGCTGTACACTTTTTTTTTTGTTATCAGAGCAACCCTTTTCTCTTCAATAGATGATGCTTACATCAAAACACAAGACAATATTTAGAATGCATTTTAATTTCATAGGCTTTTCATGTGTGACAACACTGAAAACAATAGCAGATAAAACATCCCGTCCATGCGGGTGGAGGAAAGGGAAACATCCAAGTCGTTCAGCGCAGATTGTTCTTTTTATTATCATTAACAGTAATGTGATTCTGCAGCCCTCTGTGACCCCATCACAGCAGCTCTTTATCTCCGAAGTCATTCATTAGAACAGACGGCAGAAAGAAACAGGGAGAGAGAGAAAGAGAGAGCGTAAAATAAATTAGATTGTTCTTAGGAGATGATCCACTTTGAGTCGGCAAAAAAGAGAGCAAACTCAAAGGAGATCCAGCAGTTCAGAATATGGATGTGAAGTTGCTGAGGAGTCTGGGATCAAGTTTTGGGCTTCGGGCTAAGTGTGTAATCACAGCCTCACTTATTGTCCACTTTGGATTTAAAGACCCACAGGAAGCCTTGAACTGAAAGCCGCATGTTTAGGCTGATATTTGGTTAGACTGTGTCTGCTCAAGACTTTGGGCTGATTGCAGGCTCTGGTGAGACTAATCAAAAAGCTTCTTATGTCTTCTTCCTCTAATGTAAATGGATTGTACAGTGTTTCTCTCATGTTTTGGGCCAGAATATGATTTGTACTCTGGAATGACAATAAAGGCCATCGCTCAAAGGTTTTCAATAAGAGCGACCATAAAGACTTTTTTTTTTCATCTGCTGCTGCTGATCTTAGCAGTAGATCCACATCTATGCATTTCTATAAGTGAATGCAGACAGTTCTGTGGGTTCAATAAAAGCAGAAATCAGATACTGGAGTGGTCAGAGACTCAGACACTGATGAGGAGGGGGGGCACTGATGTATGGGGGAGGGAGGGAGGAGAGCCGTGTGGATCCTTGGAGTAGTGTGACAGACTCCCCAGCCTCCTGGTAGGATTTATTGGAATGTGAGAGAGGAGGATTTTAGCACCAGGCGAGCCACGCCAGAGTGCTGCAGACTTCATGCCATCTGTCTCAGCCTCCATCGTCTCTTTGCCAAACTCCTCAGACCTTTATTTCCTCTCCCTCTTTTTCTCCTTCTCATCCCTGTTCACAAGAGTAGTGGACATACTGATATCCGCTAACGTATTGGAAGCAGGGGGGTTGGTTGATGGCTGGGCTTAATAAGCAGACAAGAACAGGAAAAAAAGACATTGATTAATATGTATTCTTGGAGCTGATTGTACGACAGCCCTGATGGAGACACAAATGTGTGTCCGAGAGCCCTGCCATTTGTTACGGGACCAACAGGGAAAGAGAGAGTTATTCATACCATAGCAGATCTGTTGATCAGTTAATAACGAAACATGCTCCAAGTGAGAGCCAAGAAGTGCTTTAATTTATTGCCCTGTTAAACACTGATCAGCCATAACATTATGACTGTCTGCACGCTCTTGCAAAAGTATTTAAACCCATGCAACTTTTTCACATTTTGTCACGTTTCAGCCACAAACTTTGGTGCATTTTATTTGGTTTTATGTGGTAAAAACCCACAAAAGTTAAGTAACATTTTAAAATAGAAGGAAATATTTCATGGTTGTCATTTTTTAAAACAAGAATGAAAATCTAAAAAGTCTGCTGTGTATTTTAAGCCTCTCCAAGTTGATATATTACAGAATTCCTTTTTACTGCCAAAACAACTGCCAGACATTTTTCTACCAGCTCTGCACAAAGAGAGAAACTGACATTTATTCTCATTCTTCTTTGCAAAACAGCCCAACCATCCATCTTTCTACAATCCTAATCAATTTCTTTGACCGTGTGGAAGGAAAGCGTCCCCACAGCATGATGCCGTCGCCACCATGTTTCACTGTGAGGATTATGTATTCAGGGTTATTTTCCAAACAGTGTTTCAGGTTTTCTCTTTGTTTTTACAATGACACATTTTTCTTACGTTTCATGGCTTGTGGCCAGGGCCGGATTTACAAGGATGTGGGCCTCTGGTGCCCCACCCACAATTTTTTTTTTTGATGGCTCTTTATTTAACCATGCGAGTTACTGAGAACTAATTCTTATTTACAACGACCGGCATTAACAGGTAGCACTATACATGAGCAGGTTTGAACAGATGCATGGTGGGTTTAATATGAACCTGGCCAATAACTGCATGTTGCAGCCAAAAATATTACTATAAGTTCTTAATTTTCAAACACTTGAAATACAACTCACCTGATTTGGACCTCGGAGATGGGAATTTTGTTTGCTTTTGTTTAAGCACAATGTTTGCAAAGCATACATTATAATAAAATTATTTTATATTTGTAACTTCCCCTAATCAGGGCACTGGGTTGCTCCTAAAGTCTGCCACAGTTTGTGGCAAACTGAGATTAAATGATACGCAGGTGATTTTACTAATTAGGTGATTTCTGAAGCTGGTTGCACTTGTCTTGACTAAAGGGGAAATAGAACAAAGAGAAATCTGTCCTCAGATTTTTATTTGTAAAACCTTTTGAAAATTATCTCTCTTTTATCTTTCACAATTGATTCCTACTTTGTTTTTGGTTTAGCAAAATCCTAATCAAACAAGTTCAAGTTTATGTCTCCAACCTGATGAAGTGTGAAAAAGTACATTTAAAACTTTCAGGAGGCTGTGGATCTGCTCTGTTATAAAATATCTGAAGGTGTCATAAATGTTTAGTTCCAAAACAATAGATTTTAATATTTCTTTGACCCCTCTTTGATGTGTCATTGGGAGCTTTTTGGACAGAGTTTCTTACTACAGATGCAATTAGATCCCATCAGGTCAGAATCTGGGGATTTTAGAAGCTGACTAAACCCCTAAGATCTGCTGTCATGTTCTTTAAGCCATTTTTGTAAGCAGCTTTTAAAGCACCCACAGGGGAGGAAATGGGGTTAGGAGGGTGGAATATTCTTCTAAACTGTTTACGTCTGTGGTAAATGTCAAAATAACACCAATGCTGATGGTTTTCGCAGCAAAACATTCTGTTATTACAACATATTACTCACTGCACCTGGCATTAGTTATAATCTTATGACTGATTGGTGTAAACAGGCCATTTGCTTTACTTAACTTGATTTGTTAAAATGTGAGGAAGATGCTCCCATGTCATAATGTGATTAAAATGCGTGGCATGAAAACGTTTGTTTTTGAAGTCATTATTTTGTTATTAACCAAAATAAGGAAATATTTGAATGCAGTCATGGAAAGGGAAGCATTCTCGATAAGAGATTTAAGATCATATGACACCTTCCAGCACCACAGAAAGGAAACTGTCACTCTGGCCAAAAATTCTCAAATCTTTTCATTGTAGACAGATTTGCATTTACGTGCTATAATTAAATCAAAAGCAGATTTTCACATCAAATGGTGGTGTGATTATGCTGTATTTGTGTGGGGCTGATCTCTCACCCTCTCTCTGCATGTGGGTGGCTTGGGAGGAGGCAGCAGGAGATCACAGGGAGGAGCTGTACTGGCTCCATGTCCTTAACCTGTTCGGAGAAGGGTAACGGGAGGATGGGGGCTGGAAAGAAAATGTACCCATCGCCCTATATGGAACACCAGGTGGCAGAAAGTGGGCAGGAGGCCTTTGAAGCTGACCCCTGGTCCGTTCGCTGAGATGGCCTCAACGATCGATTTAGCCAGTGATGGCAGGGAGGAGAGCCAGGTGCCCCCACAGGGCCGTCAGTCCACTCAGATCTATTATGGGCGAAGGGGAGAGAGTCAGTTGGCGCCTGGACTCACAGCTCCTGTCTGTCTGGTTAGCTTTAGCAAAACACTTGCACTTCCAACTGTTTCAATTTTGGATATCAGCATAGTTGGAAAAAAATGCAAAGCAGTAATCTTTTGATTATAATATATTTCTGCTATGAAATTAACTTTTCAGATTGAGCCCACGACTGGTTTTCTGATGAGCTTTCTGTCCATAAGCAGTGTGTTCAAAAGGTTTGTATGCATACCTTTTGATGCATACAAAAGGTATGCATCAGGGTTCTGTATTTGGCCTAAAACTTTTTTCTATTGCTACCCATAATGTGAGCAAGAATGTAGGTGTTTATGATTCAGCTCTCCATCTTTATGATGGTGACACTTTCTTTTATAATAAAGAAAGTGTCGCCATCACTTTCTTTATAATACTAGGCAGCAAACACAGCTGCCTAGTATTTGATACTCGGCTGAATTTTACATTCGTCTGACACATTTTCCACCTCCAACTGGAAGTAGACTTTGAAGAAAGTATTTTGTTTCTGAGCAAATTTATGTGGCTCTTCTTGCAAGACTTTTGTCTTGTTATAAATATCCTGACATTTTAATTCATGAAAAAAGAAATCAACCGAAATTAAGCTTGTTTAAATAAATACAATTTTTCATTTAACATTAAAAAACAACTTGTTGTAGCTACATTTTTACCTTGAATTGACAAGAGTACCATTGTTTATGTGAACCGTGTCACTTAATCATTTTAGCCTGTATCTGTGGTGGAGAACTGAAGTTTATCTCAGGATACAAACCTGAGTAAATACAAAAAGCAGTTCAGAAGAAAGCCATCCAAAAAATCTGAGCCCTGTGCAAAAAATGAATTGTTCACCTTGTTAAATTTTAAATGAACTGTGATTAACAGAAGTCTCAATCCTGACGCATCTGTAAAATTAAGACATAACTTAAACATAACCAGAATGATAACACACAGTAGGCTAATATATTCAGAAACAACGTGTGTATAAAAATTCAAGAACACATGAGAAACAAAACACTTACAACACAAAGTAGCCAGAAATATGTTAATGAAAATCATTTCTCAAACTTTTGGGCTCCAGAAAACCACACTATGTCATGTACTATCAAAATAAAGAAAATCAAATCAAAGATAAATAAATAATCATAACCATACCTTCTGGTCAAATAGTAGACTTTTAGATCAGCTGGGAAACAACAGATCACATTATGTGATCAGTTTTAAAGTAATTACTCTGCTAATAAAGGTTAAATAAATAAATGAGTTTGATTCATGCATGAATCAGACATCCTTGTGCTGCCCATAATGTTCATTGTGGGCAGCACAAGAACTGTGCAGGCTGCTTTGTATTTTGGCCAGAATTGGAGGAGGTGAGTGCTATCATTGTCTACATGCTCATTCCTGGGTTACTTCTCTGTTTACAGACCTGTAAACATGAGAGTAAACACACTTAAACTCACTGACAGTAACTCAAAACCTGACCCACCTCCCCGTTCCTGCCAAAAACCCCTCCTCTTTGGGTGGGAAAAATAAAAGCTCTGTACTCGGAGGAGGAATGACTAGAAGAAATTATGATGTGTTTGATTTCCTCTGCAGCCAATGATGTGCAAGCTTTGTGTACTTCCTGCCCTCTGATAGGTCTTTGTCGCTCTCTTCATCTCGAGACCCACGCCGTTCCCCATAATCCCCCTCCTGAACATAAACAGGCCAATCCTGTGACAGAGCTGAGGGGCTGGGGAGGGAAAAAGCAGCCACCGCTTAGATGGGGCGACGAATGTGGTTCAGAAAGAGAAAAAACAGGACAAGAAGCTGGTGGTGATGTGAGAAGAAGCCAGTGTGTTATTATTAATAAAGCATTAAAAAAGTGAGCACATCAAAGCATACAGAGGCTATGCTATCTTACATGAAAGTAGCGCACTATGGCTTAATGTTTCCTAAGGCGTGTTACGGTGACGCTGCTTTGATTTGAAATGCATTGTGTGGAAAATGGATTTACAGGAGTGCAGTGGGAATACCTGGTGTGGGTTCAGACTATAATTTAAAACCTGACCTCATAGGCTCTTCAAAGTAAGAGCGGTGATGTTTTAGGCATTCGCAGTGTGTGTGAGGTCCTAAACCACTGCTGCACACACAACAAATAAACACCAGTGGGGGATGTGGATAAAACCTGAAAAAACCAGGGAAAAAAACAGGAACATTTTCTGGTTTTCCTTATGCTAGTCATTAGAACTAATAGTAACTTACTTTAATACAATTTTTATTCTATCTTTTTTCAGCTAAAGGCTGCCAGACCTGATTATTGTGTGTTGCATTGCCAATCAAGGCCTGCAGGAAGTGAGATTTTTTTCATTGTGTCCTCATGGAAAAGGTAATTACCCTAATCTACCTTTCTCTTGTGCTCCAGCTCCACTACCACAGTGGCTCAGACCACCTCCGAGGTTTCATTATCATCGCTGGGACTCACTAATGGCTTGACGGCTTCACTGAGCGGGCAGCTGGAGAGGAGGATCCAGGGAAAACGGAAAAGAAGAAGAAGCAAAGGGAGGAGAACAGGGGTAAAAGGAAATCAGGGGGTCGGGGGGAACGAGTCATGGAGGAGAAAGAGATTAACATGAGGGACAATACGATGAAGTTCAACTGCTTCCTTGAAAATCAGCAGAGACTGAAGGAGGATGAAGCAACAGGGCAAAAGTAATGTCAAAGAGCCGGTATGGAGATCTGACAGAGTGCTCTCTGCACGGCTCGGTGACCATGCCTGAAAAATGTTTGAAGTGTATAAATGCTCTTCCCATACATCCACATCTCCACCTTGTATGTTTGCAACAGCTAACCTCACAACATGCAGACGGACCGGGGGAGGAAATTCAGCTCCACTTTTTGCTTTCCAGACAAATGACACCCTGACAGTTGGAAAAATGTTGGGGTCCCTGAACAGATTTCTCAGTTATAAAAATAAAATGTGTTGGATTAGACAAAGACAGACATTTTATATTCTACTTTTGAACCCCAACGAGAGCACTGACAAATGCCACCCCACCCCCACTCCGTCTGTGCCATAATTGTTGTTTTTTTTCCTTCTCTCTCTCCAGAAATGTCATATAGTTAAGAGGTGATAAATCTATATGGCATAAACAGACACTGATTTCTCCCAAGTGTATGTATAGCATATAGGCTGACAGATTGAGATGGTGTTTGTCTTTGCATCATGCTAAATTGGCATAAATGTAGTTTTTTTTTCTATACTAAGAAAGAAATTGGGAGAAATCTTAAATATAGTTTAAACTGAAATGGAACAAACACACACAGCTTAAAAATAAGATGAAAATCTTGAAATTTTATTGCTTAATAGCTAATTCATGCTGTGCTTGTTGGTGTGTATGTTTAGTGTGAGTAACACTGTTTGCATCATATGTCAAACGCATATTGTATAAATGCTAATGATGTCAATTTGAATATTATAATGCATAATTTCTTTCCATCTGTCAAGACAAACACGTTAATCAGGATAAAATCACCTTAAAAAATAAAATTATTGTAAAATCTGAAAATTCAATGTCTTTATCGTGGCTATTCATACTTTTAACCTATCAAACAATTCAATTTAGTCTGGAATACCTCCACAATATCACATGCTCTATAAATAATAATCATAACTGCAAATATATTTTACAGCCAAAATTATATCTGTTTGATAACAAATTTAATTTTATATCTGAAAAAAGTAAGGCAGGAGAGGAAGACTAAATTCTATAAATGCTTGATAAATTGAGTAAAACAGTGTTTAGATGTGAAAATCTGCATCAAGACATTTTATGCGGATGTCACATTGACATTTAACATCAACTTTAAGATCGCTGCGGTGCAGCCACACCCCTGACAAACACAACCCGTCAATCCAGGGTGGGACTGAAGATTCACTTGCCAGTGTCCCAGTATCAGACAGCCCACAAGACAAACAACATAAATTAAAGTGACAGTAAACAGGCATTTTAGGGCTCAAAATGTTCTGAATATATTGCTTGTCCTAAAATTGTTGTCAGGTGTCACTTGCAGTCATTTTAGTAAGTGGGTTTAGGTGCAGACAAGCATGAAGGCATGTTTTGTTTTGTTTTGGGTCTTTTTTTTTTTTTTGTCAGAGGTAATGTGATGACACATGATGCTGAAACAGTCTTCTTCCAGAGGATTCAGAATTTTAAACCTGCTATAAATAAATGTGTTAAAACTGGTTCAGTTGGATTTGAGGAAGAGAAGATGAGGAAAATCTGCCTTCACAGTTCATGTTTTCTTCCAGTTCTTTTCAATTACTTTTGATAGTTTCAAGTAGATAATAATAATAATAATAATAATAATAATAATAATAATAATAATAATAATAATAATAATAATAATAATAATAATAATAATAGGAAACATGATTTTGTAGATGTGCAGGTGCTGAACAAATGTGAGTGCATGTAAATATTGCGGTGCTTCATGCATGCAGAAGAGAATACAGCAAGCACAAAGCGGTAGGACAGACCTTTTCATATAAAAAGAAACTCAGGTATTTCCAGAAGGAAAATAAAAGCCTTCTTCAGCTTCCATGCTTTGACAGAACTAAAATAGAAAACAGCTAGAATGAGCTGTGCTCACAAAGAAACTCATGGAACAAATGATTTATTTTGACTAAAGCAGGGTGAAAAACACAAACAGCAAACAGCAACGCAGTTAGATTTGTTGTATTTTGGTTGATTGCATGGATAGGTCATATAAATAGTATAGGCAGATAAGTATCATTTTACACTCAAGTACCACATAAAAAGGCTACAAAATTTGGAGGCAGTCTATTATGTATAATGCTGTTAAAGCTCTGATTTGGGTGTGTCTGTCATGAAAAGGTAAATGCTCAAATATGTTGCTGGCTGCTAAACTTCACCTAAACTTACCTGGTAGAGAGACGAGGACTGCATCTGTCAGTCATTTGCTGCAGATCAGGTACTTTATATGGGATTTTAGGAGCTTTTACAATGAAAACAGCTTCATGATTCAGCTAAAACAGGCGATGTAATGAAAGTGGGAAAGAACAAGGTAATTTGTTGAATGAGACCATTAACAACGAGTTGAAGTTTGTTACAAAGTTTTATAAGACTCAGGAAAGCCACTGGGAATTTTAAGCTTACATGTTGGGCTCGACTAACAATAGTTGTCAGTTTTTTAAGTGTCACTCAGTGCCTCAAGCTGTCAGTCATACGATGCAGAGTGCAGACATTTCTTTGTCATGCTTATTCATAGCTTGGAGAAAACAGGGTTTGTTTATTTAACAAAGATTTTCTGTTGGGTTTAAGCATTTATTTCTATGTTGTTTGGTCCCTGAGTCAGTCTTTCTTGGATCTTCTTTATAGTTTTAAATTTGTTACCAGTTAAAATAATCGATTGTAAAATGCCACATCAGGGAATGTTTAAGAAAAAACTAATTTCTTTAAGAATTTTTTATGCAATGCCCAAAATCAAAAGACGCAAACATGGATGGGTTTTAAGATTTTGGGGTTTAACATGGAGTTCATTTGTAAGCATTTTAGACTTTATAGTGAAACTGCATTGTTGTATGCAGTGGACAAAAAAACTGTAGGATTGTATTTGTGGGAAACAACATGTTATGCCAGAACAGTTAGGCTGTTCTTTGTCGATATTTTGATACAACTATTTGGAAAAAGGAATGTTCAGTCAAAAACAGTGGATGAACCATGTTAGATTATCGCTTTGTAAGCCTTTGGTGAAGACAACAAAGACTGCAAAGAGTGTTAAAATTTACTCCACCATAAAGCACCTTCCTAAAATGTTGTTTTCCTCAGCTTGTAAATGTGTGATTCACTCTAGAATTCAGCAAACAGTGGTGAAAAGCATAAACTTATACTGAAGTCCCTTTCTGGTAGTTAGTGAGGTGTGCTTTCAGCTTTACAGAGGAGTTAGTCATTTAGTCAAACAATGGGAGAGCATTAACGGATGCCAATGCAGCAGTACCAGTCAACGGCCAAAGTCAATACACCCTACTGGGCTGCATGCCTTTCAACAAACACAAGCAATTGCTTTTAAAGACCTCAGCACCAGATAGAAACATCAATTACAGTAAATTACACCAAAACAGTGAGTAACACTTCAATTTGTTTAATCTTCTGAGCTGTCTGAGCTGTTTCGATGAAAGCAAAGCAGAGGAGAGCAAACTAAGACTACATTCAATAGCCTTAAGATGCGTTACACCATCCAGCTCTGGTCATGTAAATGCATAGAATATGAGTTATTTATATTTAATCTCCAAGTACTTCCTTTGATAGCATTTATTTACACTCAGAAATGGGTTATAAATGTTTTGCTTTTGAAGAGCTTCGAGTTAGGAGCTCTCTCCAGCAGCCCTGTGACTATCCAAATCAAATGTGCCCAGTTTTCTGTTGGCATTGGGAAGTCTGGAGCATACAAATGATTCTCTCAGGTTCTTAGTTCATAATGCTTAGACTTTCAAAGGCAAAATTAGGATGCTTCAAGTGTTCAACAAGGCTTTAACTTCAGCGTCTTGGGGCACAGGTTAATAAATTCTGCAGTGAGACGACTTGGAAAAAATAAAAAGCAAGGCTGTAACACCCTTTAATTTCAATGAAGCCTGGAATGGAAATCCAAATAATAAAGGTTGGTGATTCTGTGTTGACTTGTAACTATAGATTAATTAATGTCTTAAAAAATGATTTGTTAATTAAATTAGTGAAATTCCTGTTGGTTTCATGAGTTGTTTGCAGACATTCCACTGTGCTGCTCACATCCTAGCTCTTATTTTGGGATTGTCAGGACTTTGTTTGTTTAACAAAAGAAAATCTTTGACATAATTAATTATAAGCATTTAATGAATAAATAAAGTCTATCACTTTATAATTGTTCCTACTATATTCTGTATGTATAATAAATATAATAAGTAATAAAAAACAATTATAATAATAATGTGATTCTTGGAACTTGGTGAATGTATCAAAAATAATTGGATTTTTTTTGTCAAAATCTTATTTTTGTCTCATAAATGATGGAAGCTGACCCTTTTAAATAAATAAAATAGAAATTGAAAACTTGGTTTTGACTGATTTAGTCCTAATATAGGTAGAAAGTATACCACTAAACAAGAAAATGCTCAATTTAAACCAAGTGGAGCATAAATGGGTTTCTTTGCCATGGCTGATTATCCAGGAGGGGTCCTGGTTGCTGGGGACAGATGAAGATTTGGCAGTTTTAGTGAACATTTTGGGAGAACAGGGAGGCTGTGGAGGGGGCCTAGAGTAAATGAAAGACAAATGCAAGTAGTGCCCACTCAGCTATTTTCCCAGTCAAGATCAAAGGCACGCTGGACCGGCCGCTCCACAGGAAACTTGAGATGGGCCCTGCCTTTGTTTGCTGTTGCTATGCGACCTGCGGAAAGCTGAAAGTGTTTGCAGAGGGGCACAACATCAAAAACCATTTCCAATATAAATTTTTAAGACTGTCTTGTGTTTGTGTCGCTGGCTTTGAATTTACAGAGCATACCAAACAGACTAACACTAATGATTTATTCCTGTTTGTCAGGGAATTGTGGTGTTTGAAAGAAAGAAATTAGTCACACACACACAACTGTCCAAGCAGGCAGGGTGTTGTCATTTGTCTATGCAAAAACCTCTGATGCAAAACTATGGAACTATCGATGCACAATTTAAACTGACCTAAGATGTGCATCTTTGGCCCAAGATGCACAGATTGCAAAACTGCAAGCAGTGTGCAAACACAACTTCAATATTGCTTGAAAGATTTATAAGCGTCTGTTTGGCTTTCAAACAAAACTAATTATGATGCTGTTATATATTAATGGGCCCCATGACAGTAAGGGTGGCTAGACATGTGTCACAGAGAGCTCATTACATATCATTAGTTCGACACTTCAATAATGTCTACACCTGCTGAGCAGTAGATAATGACTTGGCCCCTGATATTTGCAGGACTATTGTCTACTAAGCACAGCACCACCGGGAGAATAGATTTGCAGGCTTATGAGGAGAAAACTGATAAAGCTGCATTATAACCTACATAGACTTCTGGATTAGTGTAACATATACTGAAGGAAGTACATGGGAAAAGAAATCTATCTATCTATCTATCTATCTATCTATCTATCTATCTATCTATCTATCTATCTATCTATCTATCTATCTATCTATCTATCTATCTATCTATCTATCTATCTATCTATCTATCTATCTATCTATCTATCTATCTATCTATCTATCTATCTATCTATCTATCTATCTATCTATCTATCTATCTATCTATCTATCTATCTATCTATCTATCTATCTATCTATCTATCTATCTATCTATCTATCTATCATCTATCTATCTATATCTATCTATCTATCTATCTATCTATCTATCTATCTATCTATCTATCTATCTATCTATCTATCTATCTATCTATCTATCTATCTATCTATCTATCTATCTATCTATCTATCTATCTATCTATATCTATCTATCTATCTATCTATCTATCTATCTATCTATCTATCTATCTATCTATCTATCTATCTATCTATCTATCTATCTATCTATCTATCTATCTATCTATCTATCTATCTATCTATCTATCTATCTATCTATCTATCTATCTATCTATCTATCTATCTATCTATCTATCTATCTATCTATCTATCTATCTATCTATCTGTCTGTCTTTCTATTTCTTTGTAAGAAAAAATATATCCGGCGAAACATAAATAAATAAATGAATAAATACAGAATGCGTAAATAAGTAGATAAATATATCAAAAGTTTTGGTATTTTCACAGATCACTATTCAAATCATTCTTCAAAAATTTAACAGGAGATTTTTCATCAGGAAAGCCAAAGTATACAAAGAGTTTGAGAGATATTAGATATTAGCCTTGAACACCAGAAATCTGCTCTTAAAAAAACACACAAAAGAGTGACAAGAAGAAAGCATTTTACTGAAAGAAACCCATTTTTTGTTTGGCCATATTTATAATATATATAAAATATTAGAAAGAAAATGCTCAGGCAACATGAGATTAAAATAGCCAACTTGGAAAATGCTCTACATGGAGGAACATTATCATTAAACTGCATTCAGAAGACTCTAGAGCAAAATATAGTGGTGGTAGCATGATGCTGCGGGGTTGTTTTTCTCCATCAAAGCTGGTCGTGTTTAGCTAGGAAATGGTTTGATTTAAATGCAGGGCAAGTCTTGGAGGCAACCTATTGCACACAACAAAACATTTTATAGTAGTGAGTAGGTTTACAGTCAATAACTCGGGGTATTAGTCTGCCACGGCCTGTGAGTAGCTCAAATCCACAAACATCTGAGATCCTCCAAAAACACTTACAGCTGCCTATTTATATAGTTCAAAAACCAATTATACTGTAACATGCACTAATACACATGATATAAATCATCTTTTCAATACCATAGACATCCACAGCGTTTCTTACCTTCACTCTTGGGTGCAGCCAATCAGCGCCAAGGAAAAGAAATGGCGCTTCTTCACTGACTGCTTTGTAAATGCCAGCTAATTGTGCTTCAAGTACTTTTGCACAGACTTTTCCAGCTCCCCAGGCTGCATTGTCTTTCCATATAGCTGTTGAAAAAAAAAACCCGACAAAGGATGAATCCATAAATACTGAACCACAAATAGACAGGGCTTCCACAGCACAGGTCCAAACGTTAAACATACAGGCTTGTTTTCAGTGGAATGGTTTAAATAAAAGAATTTACAGATGTTAGAATACATACTATATTTCCACAAAATTTTGAAAAAATAAATCAGATGTTTTTGTTTGTTTTTTACACAAATAATGCAGCTCATAAAGCATAAAGCCTTTGTTAGTCCATCTTTGACCAGTCAAGCATGTATATCTTGAACAAGATCAAACGTAGTCCCTTTAATTTAGTGCTGACAATCAGATCCGATGTTATCGTGGCAGCAGTGTGGGGTCATATGTTCTCAAAGTGCATATAGAGTACATAACCCAAGACCACCCACTTCCTTTTGACTAGACAAAACTATCGCTTCAAATGGTTGAAGCTCTCAGTCCAAGTTGAACTGCCCCCCAGGTTGTGCTGCCCTGGGCAGTGAGCCATATTGTACATATTGACAACAATCATTGTATCAATCATTTATGACTGTGGCCTGATCTAGGAGTTCTATGACTTTCCTATCGTTACATAACTTTGAATAAAATGACCTCTGTCTTTTTGGCAAGACATGAAAGAAAAAATTAATGAACATAATTCTGCATAAATAAATATTTTACACGTGATAAAATGAGTTGGAAGAGCTGCACTCTTCTAGGTAGTTTCAAAGTCACCACTTTAAACATTTCCTAGGACTAACAGGACATTCAGAAATTACACTGGCCAAAAAAATGGACTCTGTCTGGAACAATGAACATTGGAGTTGTTCTGTGTCTGCCTTGTGTTTTCTCTGCTTGAGCCAACTGGCACAGCGCTGGTGTCCTCTCCCAGGCTCCCACTTCGCAGTGATGACAATGGCAATGCAAAAATGAAAAAAAAAAAACTAAATTACAGCAAGCCAAGGAATGCTTGGACAATTTAAAGACAGTGCAGCTCATGCATGAGTCTCTGTCTCAAGGAAAGCATTGGTTTAATTGTGAGTATTTGGTCCGTCAGCCCTTTCATCCATGGTTAGACTGCAGAGAGAGGCTGCAATGACCTTAAAGCGAGCCATTTTCCAGCTGGAAGTGGAATAAATAAGGTTTCTTGAGGATTCCGAGTTTGCATCCTCTGACAGGCTGAATTTCTTTGCCAACCAGGAAGAACTAGACATGGCCTAGATTCAAGTGTGTCGTGAGCTTATGCTGTGCGTCCTGCCGTAACCTTTCCACACTCAGTGCTATAGCGAGGGCGCTTGTGAGGCTTTAAGAGAAAACACTGAGAACACAGCAGGCAACGAAGTGATGAGATAAAGCAGATTCATCTTCCGAACCCTTTAAGAAAAAAGAGCGCAGGCTAATCCTGCTGTTGGGATGGAAGAAAGAGACGTCTTCCTCCTGTCACTGCACGCAGGGATCCACCCCTGTGTGACATCACAGCGAATGCACTGTTGCCAAATATCACATCAGTAGCCCGGATTGCCTTTAATTGGTGTGTGAATAGCTGCTGCGATAACTGAACATCATGTAGATTTATGACTGCTAAGTACAAATCCATTATCAGCTTGAATTAGTTTTGACTGAGAACTCTTTGCTCATTTGGCTGCCACCTGCTTCTCATTGATACTAATGATTCACTACAGTTATTGCAGTGGGAAGGAGATGAAACAATGTTTGATTAGCTAGACTTCCTTTTTTTTTTTAGTTTTACAACATAATTTGACTCTTACCGCTTCTTCATTGGGTGTCCTTATTTGCAGTACTGCAATTAATAAATCATCTGTGAGAAAAATGATAAATAATGTAGTCATAAGAACTTTGTATAAATAATCAGCAGGAAAACACAGTAGGGAGGTTTTGAGATTCTAAAAAAACTACAAATGATAAAAATCTAATAAGTTCTGGGGCTTGACAAAAACATCTGAAAACTGCTCAAATTTTCATCTTTGCTTAATTTAGATAGTGATAATAATAATGTTATCATCCAATCTTCAGCCCAAATAAATGTGTGTTCAAGATGAGGAGATGGATATATTTAAGGATTTTAACTAAAGCAATAGCAGCTTTTATTTTTCCACTGAAAAATTGTGTGTGTGCAACGAGGAATTCAGTCTCTTTGTTTTTTATGTCTCAACAGATCTTGACTGATATGTTGGCACAGTGGCCAGGAAGCTTCCCCCCAAAGAGTTCACCTCTGTTTCAGTCGATGACTGCTGCCTGAACCCTGTACCCCCCATTGAGACAATAAAACGGCTGGATGACTATTGGAGTAGCAGAGAGGCCAATAGTTTATAACTCAGGAGAGGTAGAGCTTTACAGCTTGTGTGAAGACAAAGATTTGGAATGGTACAAGTTTGCATTTCCCCCAGTCTGAGGTCAGGAGTGCAAGGTTACCTTTTTTAGTTGTCTGAGGCAGATGGTGAGAAATACAAAAGCTGCATTGCTACGGCTTCAGATAAAAGGACATTTCTCTGTGCATATATCGACAGCTTTTAGGGGCTCACTCAATAAATGCTTAGTTGTATTAAACAGCAATATGCACTATGATATTCACATGATCCCTTTAATTAACACAACCTGGAGACTTCATTACTTTTGTCAAATTATGAAGTTTATTTCTGATGGGAAATGAGACGAGTATCTACTAAAAGATAAAATTATGCAAATATAATCTGTATTTTGAAATCAATATTTCTTCTGTTTTATTTTCTTTGATTAAAGAAAGATTACATTTTATTTGACGTATTAAATAACATAGCTTCTCAACAGTCACTGAAAGATAATGGATTGTTTGATTAAAAGTAAAGGTCTTTAGAAGGCTATTAGAAAATGTTTTGTTGTAATGAAGCCCTAAAAACAATGCATTTTATTCTTCTTATATATCTGCCATTTATATATAAATCTTCAGTCACATTCAGAAAATTTTAAGATGCATTCTGATGACACTAATTATGTCTTACTAAAAGCACCTTATTAAATTAACAACATTTAAGCAAGTATTAAACATATCTTTGAATAAGCCAATATTTATGGATAAAATTGTTGTTTTTTATTTATTTGATATCTTATTCTAATCTTAAATGTTGTTTTGTTTGTCTCTTTCTGCTCAGAGTTGATTTTAATTGAGTCAATTTTTAAAATGTATTTTTCTCCTTGTAAAAATGCAGATATGCAAAAGAAGTTGGTTTCAGTGCTGAATTCAAGCACTATTCCTATTAAATAAGTTGTTTTTTGACAATTACTCTTTGTATCTTCCTACCCCAAATAAACTATTTTCTTTTACAATTAACATAAAAAGGCATAATCATAAAAATTCAGGTGAACCAGAAGCAGCAAAAAACTCAAACCATTGGGCCGACTTTATGTAAAGAAGGTCTATTATGATATAAGGACTGTTTTGGAGCTTTCATCTTTTCACACTCAGAGATTCCCCTTTTCATCCTAAAGGCATTAAAAGGAGAGAAAGAGCAGGAGACAGAGGAGTTAGGCTGACGTCACAGCCCAGGAGTCACCCGCCGTGCGTTCGGCGTCTACAAGTAAAGACTTATCTTGCAAAGAAGTTTGGACGGACAATGTGGGTGGACAGGGCGTGAAACTACTATCATCATCAGGTCTGAATGAAAAGGAGAAAACATATCTTCCACAAAAAAGAAGGCTCATTCCAATTCAGCTGCGTTGTTAGGACAACGGGAACCATCCCTCAGATGATTAGTTCCACTTCAAAAGAATTTACTTTCCGCTGTGGAAACGTCCCCCTTTTGTGTCCTTACACAGGGTTTTCTCAGCCCAAAAGAAGAATCGTATGTTTAGTCAGCCTGTTTATTATTCCTTCTGTTCGCATAACAATTGTATTAAATAAATAGAGTACTGCTTACAAAGGCCTATTAGCCCATAAACATGTCCAGGGACAAACAAAAAAGACTAAATCATAGCCTCTGCACAGGAATTAAGATACCCTGGCAAAGGCATAAAATACACCAACTCCCACTAACATCCCCATTGACACTGTGGAGCATGGATGCTCTGTTGTTCCATCTCAGTCTGGAGAAACAGCGTCTCTTGCTAAGCCTCTGTTGAGAATGCAGTGAAGAAGAGGGATGGGTGAAACTGGCATGTTCTTTCTAAGCTGTGCGTAACAAACTCTTTGGTCTAAGGTCATAAAGTACCACAGACTACTTCAAAACTGAAAGATTTAAATGGTCTTTCACGTATTTATACATCACTTACCCAAAAATACATCCAGATTTTAGATGAGCAGGCATTCAAGAGTCTGCAAGAAAAAAAAGGCAAGCAATTACAGGTAATAATTAGGCAATGTTGGGCACAAATTACTCTGAGCCTAATGTGATTATTAATGGGTGGCTACAAGAACAGATCAAAGAGTTATACAGCAGCTAGTTTGATCATTAACTCTGACTTCGTCAAGATTTTGAAGACACCACTTGAATACAGAAAAACTCGCTGTTGAGGTTCTGCTGGCTGCTCAGATAAACAGACTTCTTGCCTGAGTCCAAATCCCAAAAGGGGGCGGAGAAAAACATTGACAACACACCTAAATGCAGATGAGTGGAATCAGGATGAAAAGTTTTTTCTTTCTTTCTTTCATTTTTGATGCAGCCAGCGACTGGCAGCTGTGACATTTTGGTTACTTTTATTGGATTTATTCATTTTCTTCTGTGTGTGAAGTGTATTTTTTTGAAGTTTACGAACCCCCGCCTTTCTCCAAAAATCAAGCTGGAGTGAGGTTTCATCTGTCCTTTGGCAGTGTTCACTCTGCGTGTTTTGCAGCAAGTAAATTGGATGCGTAGGGACATTAAATGTTTTGCTTTGTAAAAATAACAGATCTTTAAATCAGACATTTCAAAAACAATGACTTATTAAAGCCCAACAAAGTTCATGTGCCTACTCAGAAACAGCTAAAATTCTCAACATGACCAATGATGAGACACTTTATAGCCCACAGTGATTTAATATGCTCAGCAAAAAGAAACCTCTTGGCACAGGACAACCAAGCGACCTCCCTTTAATGTTTGTCACTGTCAAAGCTTTGATTTCTGATTGATGAGTAAGGCTGGTGCAATCGCAGAGCGACATGGGCTGGTCTTGTTGCACAAATTTAAGCACGTCTTCTGGAAGTCAAGCTTGTTGCTCCTCATACCCCAACAGTTACCCCATCACGCCTCGGAAATTGTATTTCACCCCCCAAAATGAGCATCCTGTGATCCCTAATATAGAAACTGTTACAGCAGATAGAGAGGGGCTGGAAAAGTAATCAACTTTTATTTTTCTCCTTCTGTCATGAGCGCAGCTGAAAGTTCAAAATGCAAACTTAGTCACCAGTTTGCTTGTCACACCGATTTAAAAATAGTCCACAACTCTAACACAGTCTAATGCAACAGTACTGCAATAAAATTTATCTTAAGGGGTGCTCCAGCACAAAGTCTTGGTCCAAATCTTTTAGAGAAGTATTAATTTAATGAAAATGTCGCATTACAATGAATTATACTGAAAGCACAGCTGCAGGGGAGTTTAGTTTAGGAAAAAAGCACAATTAATAATAAATAACAGACTCTGATCTAGCTGTAAGCAAATTTGAACATTTATATAACCATATGTTAATAACTGTTCCTGCAGGCTCCTATAAGTGAATGCATGATGCAAAACTCAGAATAAAACCAAATCCTCTACATTAGATGAATATAGTGTTGCAAATAAATGCATTCGTTACTGCAGTAGCATAGTCTCTGATAAAATTTGCAAAATCTAACATTTAATTTGAGGTCATTTAAGTGCATGAAAAATCCCATGTAAAGAAATAATTGCTCTTAACACTGGAACACCTGCTGTAAATACTGTGTACGATAGCCTTTAGCCCACAGGACAGGACTTAGCCTTCTGCTATATCCTTTCACAAGGTTGGAGCACAAACAGAGGGTGATCTTTGACCATTGCTCCTTTCACAATCTTTCTGCCTTTCTTCAACTTACACTTCATATTTTTTACAGGTTTTTAGTGGAAGGTTGATTCTCAACCTGAGGAGCCATTTTTGCATTGATTTGATTGTATGTTTTGGATCGATATCCTGCTACAGAATGAAGTCATAAACTTGTTTCTGCTCGTCCATGAAGTGTTTATTTGAAATCCCCTGAAATATCTGGCAGTCCGTAATGCCATGCTAATAAAGTTTCCAAATTCCTGAGGGAAACAAGCCCACAGCATCACAGATCCTCCAACATGCAACATTGCGGTGCTCTTCTACATATCCCTCCTGGAGTGTTTATAGCTAAAAAGTGTACAATCTTCATCTCATCTAACCAAAGCACAAGTTTAAAGCCCCAGTAGGTTCAACAGTAGGACAGAAAATGCTTTTTTCTTGTTTTGGTATGCCACCCAAACAACCAGTTGGTATGTGGTATCAAAGATGGCTGTTTAGTTGTTGCTTAATTGCAAAGAAAAATCATGTGTAGAGTATATCTGAGCAGAGTTGAGCCACACTGTGACTTCTAGATACCAGTCTTTGCTTCAGTTACTCAGCAGTATGTTTCCTTCCTTACCACACTGAACATTAGTGGCAAGATAAACATGCCACCGCTGTGACTCTTCTACTTGTCTTAAACTCATAAATTACTCATTAGATTAAAGATATATGGAAAAGATCTTTTCCAAACTGCAAACATCAATGCACATCAAACTTTACACAAATGTCAGGTTCTCTTCTCCTTCCCATTTTGAGGAGTGTTGGAAGAAAGACAAATGCTACAGGAAACAGGAAATTAAAGTTCCTAGACTTTAATTTAATTTGTAAAGTTTATTTCAACTAATGAAAATACCAAACAATAATAATTAAAATTGAGAAAATAATAAGGAAAATTATATTTCAGGTCATGAATGTTGAAACAAAAGTGAAAAGAGCAATTCATCGCATCACTAAATGTCTTCAATTTTAATAAATGAGTACTGGCTGCCTTGAAATAGAGACTTAACTCAACTGCATTTAATTACCTCTTTCATCTACCCAATTAAAAGCAAATTTTTAATCCATGTAGTTTATTTCTTGTTTTGATTGCTCATCATGCGACTGCCTTTTAATCAGGATGAAAACATTAATGTTGCATATTAATTTATTTGATTTGCACCATCCTCTCTCTGCATAGCATACAACGCCTCAGCTGACGACTTAAAGAAGACGTTCCAGCGACGTTATCGGGAAACATTTTCAATCCGCAGTCACTCAGGTGTGTGTGAAAGGGCGCGAGGTGGTTGTTAAAATGGTCCCGAGGATCAATACCATGTTGTTGACAGTGAGAGTCCCCTTCAATGGAAATAACAGCAAGGTGGCATCACAAGGTGTCATGTGTGATGTCGCTGAAATGGATCCGGACGGGGCCATGCCTTTAGATGCCAGAATAAACATTCAGCACTGACAACTCAGATCCCAACACATAAAACGACTCGGCTGTGTGAGGTAATCTGAGCCTTACCCAAATGAGATGGTAATGCCTCCTCTCGGGGAATTCAGCAACACACAGCAGCACCTAAACAGAGGCTCAGACGGGACTAATAATAGAGCCTCCGTGCTGCTTAACTTCTATATTATTCACTTCAAAACTGAGATCAACTATGTGGGTCAGTGGGATTTCTGTGGGAAATAAAACACACAGAAAGACGCAGCCAAAGAGAAAATGTGTTCGTCTGACATCAGATCTGAGGAACGTGGCAGCTAATAAGAAAATTATTTGGGCAGCTCAGAAGTTTAATTAACAGCTGGTTTTAACTGATTGAAAGGGAGTACATGTCCAAGCGCATGCATGGGAGCCTAATTATTTTTCAACTCCTTGATTGTCTAAATAAGCTTTATAAATAAGAAAAAAACACACACACACACAAATGACTTGGAATGTTCAAAGGAAGTTATTTTAGAAATGGAAATGATCAAGGAGATTTTCAAAACTTCTGTGATCTGTGGGCTTGAATACACTGGGACTTGAGTCCTCCACGCTGCTACATATTGCATACAGACACACACATTCACACAAGCCAGTACTTCACCACCAACTCTGGCTTTTTTAAAAGGAAAATTGGACGTTTATTCTTCCATTTTGTTGCAAAACCTGGAGCTAAACTGAAAATAAAAAACAGAAACATTTCTGAGATGATCAGAGAAGCAACATAAGGCAAGAAATGATAAAAAGTAAGCTAAAGGTCAGGAGGTATGAAATTAGATGAAAACTAAGAACAGGCATCAGACGAGATATGAAAGATGAAAGGAATTTATGATGCACAATGTTGTTCTGATCATGACTTTACAGATTCATCTCAACATGTAAGTTAGAATATAATCAAAAAGTTGAATTATTTTGGTAAATAAATTCTAAACACGAATCTGTTATTTAGATTAATTGATTCATAGTGAAATATTTCAGTTATAAAGTTCTGTTTGTTTACATGTTGTGGCCTTAGTTTATTGCACAAAACCAAGAAAAAAAACCACATGTTTAATGCAGAAATGTTTTCCTACTAAATACCTACAGACTGGACAGCTTAGGGCTCGTCGGCATTGTTAGCGCTGGTCTCACTCAGCTAATTTCTCACATGACAGCTTCTCTTTGGGGTTTAGTTCAAACCAGTTTTCTGACCCTCAAACCATCACTGATTTAAAAAACCCAACACTGAACCTCAACAGCCTGCGATGCTCCACTCTTCCTCCAGACTCAGTCCATGTTCCCTGCAAGGTGAGACGCCTCTGCAACTCTGGTTCAGAGATGACTTGACAAGACTAACGCCACCCCAGGATCTGGATACATCTGTGGGTGATTGCTCTTAAAGCACCAGCCACACACTACAGTCAATGTCTTGTGGAAAGTCATAAATGACTGTTGTTTGTGCACCGTTTTCTACCTTCCACCTAACTTTCCACATATGAAGTTTTCCCAGTGATTCTGTAGGTTATGTCTTAATCATTTTTTATAAAACGGTCATATATAATATTAACATTTTCAGAGTAACTCTGATTTATTTATTACTAAAGTGATTGTTAGAATGTATATATTTCTCACTTTTACAATCGAGCTACTAACAGAATTGCGGTAGTAACACGACCACGCATAAATTTGGTCATTTCAAGGCAGCTAATAAGGCGATAATAAAGACTTTAGAACAAGCAATATTGAAAATAAGCATGCCATTCCTGTGTATTAACAATAAATTATATGTAGGCAAAAGTCAGCTGCTCAGATTTGTTCATATATGTGTAAAACCAAGAGACCACAT